CCATAAGTAAATTGGCCACCGGGTACACCATCTTTTGTTCCTCGACGTGCCAGCCATACCGTGAATATAGGCTCGTCTAGTAGGCCTAGAATATCATCCCTATATTAAATGAAAGCGACAAAATAAGAGTTTTTTGCTCGTTATGTATGCATAAATGATCCCGTCGTTTTCTCACACCCTCTACTTTTTTAAATTTGAACTTGAGCATTCATAGCAATTTCAAACTACTATACAGCTAATTATTGATTAATGATTAAAAAGAACTTTGCTTCCATTTTGCCATTGATATTCTGCTTCACCATGTAGAACATTATGATTAGTATATTCGCAAGTGCAGCAACTAATAGTGATGTACCTCCTTCTCTTTCTTTTTTGTCTGATGCCTCCCCTTCCCTTCAGAATCTGAAGCGTTCCTCGTCTTCCTACCACCTTTCTGATGAATCTACCTGCGCGGCTATGACAGCTTTTTGCGTGAACGAACTTTGCAGTTCAGTGCTCACGGCTCTGGCAGCAGCGAACGTTATTGTACAATAACTACTAGACTTTCGTTATCAAAGAAGATTATACCTACAAATATATAATCGTTTTAAAGTTTTTTAGGTATATGTGGCACACATATACAAATATATACACATATATACACATATATACACATATATGTATATATTGCCCGTTCCTCATATCGGCCGTAGCTGCACTTTATTAGGAGGCTTTATTCTCGCTGAATGCTCATTCGTTCATAGAGTTGCCACAGAATGTCTGATAAAGGGATGTAAAATACCGACCTTGCTTGATAGCATTGAGCAGTGGAGGTAGTCCCTTAATTGAAGAAAGACTCGCAAATGCAAGTCCAAAAACACCGTCTGTTGGGTCCTGTATTTGTAGGTAATGCTAATTGAAGACGTATGATTCTAATGGAATATACCGTTTTGTAATCTGGGGAGATGTGATCTGCAATGCCAAATACGCTGTTAGGTATTACAAGCTGTGGCTCGTTTTCTCCTCCAAGCTAAAATGCATCACATGGTAACGGTTTCTGGCGAACAACCTAACAACTTTCTCGAAAGTAATTAAGACATGATATTACCCTAACTACGTCCGTGCCCTTAACACCTCTTGCTTCTCCGTCACCATATTTAATGACCCATCTTGATTTGGAGTGAACGAAGGTACTTGAATCCTTCATTGAAAACTTATGTTTGCCTTTACACGAAGAGCTGAAATTGACTAGAAATGTGAATTGTAATACCTTTACATCATTTTGCTCTATATTTAATTCAATCATCATGACAAAGCAATAGGGAAAAGTTTTAAAAAATGGCAAAATGAAGAACGTATAAAGCGACAAATGATGTTTTGGGCAATGAAGCTATGTTTTTCTTTTGAAAATTCATTATATTGATAAGTGACTAGATTTACTTATGAAGCTTCTCTACGTGGCGTCTCAAAATCAACTTACTCGCAATCACGACCAGGTACCCATAGGTCAGCGGACCCAGTGTCAGGAACGATGACAAAGTGTTGTTGTGGTGTTCCAATGGTAATGTTTGAGACATACTCGTAATCATGATAGTCCAACGCCTAAAAAAGGCTGCATAAACGAGCTGTTACACATT